TTTTTATCATTTAATAATAAGAGATTGTAGATTTCAAAAAAAAAATTGAAATACTATTGGTTAGATTTTTTTAAAAATTGTTTATTGTGATAATTAATATAAAATTAATTTTTTTTTTAATGCGTGTGAAAAAAATTAGAAAATTCATCTTTGGTGGAATGGAGGTAGTATAGACTAAAATGATAGTAAATAATACTTGTCTTCTTTCATTATATAAGACACTAGATGATTTTTCAAAGAGGAATTTGTAAATTCTCAATTTTAATTAATCTCAAGGATTTATTAATAACTGAGGTGAATTTTAATTGTAATATTCTTTTGGCGAATCAAGTGATTTCTACTTCTACTAATTAAAAGGGATTGTTCAAAGCTCTTTAAGCTATCCACCAAAGCAAAAACAAATGGTTCTATAATGATGCCACGTAAGCAGTGTTTCTCCGCAAGACTGAAATTTACGACAGAAAACAACCAGTAATAGAGCTCTAATTGTACCCACATCAGATTCATTCATTTCCGTTCTAAAGATGCCACGTGTGATATCTATAATGCTTTACGTTTTCTTTGTGATCGTAGTCACAAAACTCCCAAAAAGGTAATTTGGGAAATTGAATCGTTCCTCCTGCCTTTTATTTATCTCCAAACCGCAAGCCCTTATATAAGAAGCGAATCACTTATTCTTCCCTTTTCACTAGCTTATTAGATGTTATAGAAGAGGCTCTCATTCGAAACATTATTCTTATGGGGAATATCCGATTGGATGAAGGAGAAGATGATGAGGAAAGCATCGAAGGGAAACCTCTATACAGGAGACAAAAACGGGGATAAAGGAGAGGATAGATAGGCATTGCGATCACAAGAGTTCTTGATGGAACATGTCATCTTCCTTCGCCTTCTTATTCGTCGAGTGCACCAACGTTTAGATGGGATGACTTCCTTCATGGCTAAGATTTCTATCTCAAACAACTTCAACCACCGAAAATGTCATGGCCCTAGCACTATCCCATGCCAACTCTACCCTAGCACTATCCCACGCCAACTCTATCCTCCTACAATTGATTTTTAAATCAATCCCACACCAACCCATTACCTAGGCCATAGCCTCCTTTATCTCCACTACACCCCTAAGAATGTGAATGAGTGGAAGACAATGAGTGGAG